TGCTTTCATCACAGAGCTTGAATGTAGCTAGAAGGTCAGCTTCCAAAATGACTCATACACATCTCTGTTGGCAGGAAGTGTCAGTTGCTTTCTGGCTGTTGGCAGAAGACCTTAGCTCCTTGCCCTGTGGGCTCCTAGGTTGCTTGAACATCCTCATTACATGGAAGCTAATTTCCCCAAGAGACACAGAGCAGGGGGCAAAGAGAAATCTGCAGTACCTTGTGTGACCTATTCTCTGAATCTGCAAAGTTATTTCTACTTGAAAGTGAAACTTCTAACTGACCCATAATTTAATAGAAAGCTTTAAGAATGGAAGTTAGTGTATGCTTTTTTATCATTAAATGAGCATTTTGCAAATCTTTACAAATCACATTGGGTTATTTACTCCCAAATATTTGTTCTCTTATAGAGAGCTAGAAACATCAACTTGCTAGTTTAGACGTCATAATGTTTTTGTCCTCAGTTATCTTAACTATTACTCCATTTGTTAGGGGGAAAAGGATGTCCAAAAAAGCTAATTCCATACAGGCTTTGTGGACTCCACCCCCACCCCAGGCCAAAGCCAAAGACACTGGGAACTCCAAATCCCATCCTCACCAAAGGGAAGGTAGCTGGGAACTGAGGTTGGGGTTAAGCAACCAGGTTAATATAAAAGGCAGACACGTGGGCTTTGGGGGGTCCCCCATTTTGGCTCTCCACCAGCTCGCAGCGTCCGGCCATCTCGGAGAGTGCCTTTGGGTTTCTAGGTCGGCGGATTGGGTAGGACGCATTAAAGACTTTATTTCCCTATTTTCTCCCTGAGTTGTACATTTTCCTTATTTCCTTTTCCCTTGTAAATAAACCTTTCATTAACCTTTTGTGTTTGCCTGTAGTGGAGTATTAATAAGTCCCTTTTAAGCACGCGGGTGAGGACCCACAGCCAGGAACCCGTTCAATATCGGGGCTGCTCTATAACAGCTTGGCACCCCACATTGGGCGCCAAATCTGTTATAGGACAGGGAGAGGGGCAGCCCAAACCCCGCAAACCTGCCTATTCTAAATGGGTTCTGCCATTCGCCTCATCAACACAAAACATATGAGACTTTAATGGGAAGGAACTTTAATAAAACTAGGAAACAATACAGGTAAGGCAAAGAGTCTAGTTTCTAAATGAAGCACCCAAAGTTACCCATCCCCTCATGGGTAAAAGTCCATCCATATGGGAATGGCCCAGAGCAAGGCCCCAAAGCCTGCCACAAGTCTAAAACATCTTCCAGTGGGGACCCACAGAAAAGGGTCAGAAACAACCAGACAAGCCCGGAAGGAAAAGAGCAAAATCAACATCAAGATAAAAGCTGCCATTGTCACCTCCCCATGGGTCTCACCCACATCTGTGTCACCCAGTCCACAACCAAAAGACAAGCACAGTTTCTTCACATGTCTCTAGGCTCCACGCGCCTCCTCCAGGTCTCCTGGCTCTATCCTGCTTCCTTCCTCAGTCTCTTCTGCAGCTTCTCCTCTCCCTGCTCAGCTCCACCCTCCCTTGGGTGGGGCAGGGAACCTCCCCCTTTCCTGGGGACCACCCTGTTACACATTAATCTATTCATCATTAATCTTTCAATCTATTAATCTTCCCATTGGAATGAGTAGTCAGTTTTTTTTTTTTTAAATAACTGTTATAACTAATTGTGATAATCGTCACAGTTTTTTGTTTTTGTTTTTTTAATAGTGGGATCCAGTGACTACTTACTTTCTCTGAAAATTGAAAGTACAATTTGATGGACACAAGTTGATTTATGTTTTTTCAAGAATTCCTCTATCACTTAAAGTCAAGTGCATGAGCAGGACAGAATTATACCAGGATAACATTTTTACCTGATCTTTTGGTTTAATCAAGCTTTACTACCAATAAAAGGAGACCAAGGAGCTGGACTTCTTGCTGTTCTCCCACCTGGAACATAAAATGAGCCAAATTATCTGCTTTACATTCTACCTTGGGTTGTGGGAAGTGAATGGTACCCTGGAGGTGTTATTCCTCCTGACATTACTGCTGAAAGATTAAAGAAGAAATGATCTATTATCTTAATCAATCTGTGAGTAATGTTAGGGCATATATCTGTGGAGTTCCAAGTATGTAAGTGGAAATTACTCATTTCCTAACCTCTGTTTTTCATTGTTATAATCCAAGCATTTGAAAAATGCTTTGCAGAAATAGAATGTGTTACTGATAAGAATGCCCAGGACTCTTGTTGATTTCTGTATTCATACTATTGTGATTATACATCACTGGAATCAGATACTCAGTAGGTGAAAACAGCCCCTCGGAGTACAGGAAGTTCTGTTACAGATTTTGGTGTCTCTGCAGGTCAGTAAGTCACAAAATTCTGTCATTCTTTCCAGTAGAGACATGTGGGTCTGCTAAACTTAAGCGGCCTGTTTGGCTGCCATTATGGTTACCTGCAGCTCTACATTCCTATACAAAGTCAGAACTGCCTTTCAGAACCGGTCAGTCAGCCATATGAGCCAAACCTTACAAAGTGCCTTTCATATCAATCAAGAGCAGAAAGCTTGATCACTCTGGGAAGGGTGTGCATCAAGAGGTATGACCAGGAACACATGGGGGGCTGAGAACAGATGTGCAAACTTATTCCGGACTCATATGTCATGAGCTATGACCAGGAATGCCCAGGGGACCGAAGACTGATATATGACAAGGGATCCCAGAAGCTGATCAGTGGAATGCCTTGTTGTAAGATTAGAACCATGGCCAGGGGTCTGGGGTTCAGTTTTGATGGCAACACTTGCTCATCAAACTGATAACATGGTCAGCAGACTCATGCTCCCCCAAGCCCTAGATGACATTCCTGAGTTTCATATATCCTTTTCTCCTTGTCCTCCTAATGCACATAGCTGATGCTGTATGATTATTCTATAAATAAAAATGGCCAGGATCTTGCTCTCAGCAGCATCCTGCATTATGTAGACTGCTCCATGATTCCCTCCCGTGTCTTTGTCAGTGTGGTGTTGCCCGACACAACAATGACATATTTTATTAGCAGCTGGTGTCCCTTAGACACATGATTCCTTTCATTTTTGTAGATGTAAATAATTTTCATTTTGAAATATATAACTAGAATCCTGATGCTTAGAAGTAAGTGGTGCATTTAGCAGAATACACACTGACTTTAGAGTCTTCATGTCACTTTCTTTTTAAGAGCAGACTGTTGATCACCACCCATGTTATTGCCTCTATGAGTTCATTTGAATTATAGCAGTATTTTCCACACCTCTTCTTACTAACTACATGCTAGTCTGGAGACCAGCCTGGGTAGAATCATGTTACTTGTATTTCCTTCTTTAGGTTTAAAGATCTAAACCACTGACATTATATGCTAGATTACTGAGGATTTATATATGATATATTGTAGTATGTTGGGTGCTAGAGGACTCTCCACTTAGCTTGGCTCTTGTACTTTGTTCTGGATACTACACACCAAAAAAGAGGGAAAAATAGGTAATAGGTGTTTTTTTGCTTTCTATATTGAAGGGCACTCTTCAAACCGTGGATTGGCTTACCTGAATTTTTTGTATGTAAAGTCATGGTTACTTAGAGGTCTAACCAATTTTCCTTTGCTACTCTCAAGTGCTTACAGCCGAGGGCAGCAGAGCTTTGTCCTGCCATTCACTCTGGTGGTCGCTGCAGGTGGGGATCACATTGCCCCAGTGTTTGCCCCCTGATGCAGCTCATTACACCTTGAACAGCTGTTCAAGTCCATTAACAGTCCCTTAAGCAGCAGGTGGAGGAAGCTGTGATACTCTGAGTTAAAGGTGGGGCCAAGAACTGAATTGGTGAGGGCACACTACCAGTCCCTGGCATATATTTTGTATTAAAATCGGAGACTTTTTAAATAAAGCATAGAGAGGTTATTTATTGGTTCTCACATAATAGGTAGATTGTGTTTTGCCATCAGTGTATCAGACTGATGGCTCTATCAGATTTAACTGCTTATTTTACTGGCACCTATTATCTGTTACCTTTTAGGTAGAGTCATTTAGTCAAGACATAGCCATCTTGAGGTGTACTGAAAAATGCCATACAGATCTGTGTATCTGCTTCTAATACTGTTTGATTTCAAATGCAACTTGACTATTTCAATCCTGGAAACATCTTCCTGTTTTCTAAAAAGCTTAGAAAAGTAAATATAAGTAAGCCAGCAGACCAGATGCAGCTTAAAACCTACAAATTATTCCAAGACTTGAGCTTCTCTAAGACACTATTTTAAGATCCAGTACATTTTTTGTTTGTTTGTTTCAGGGTTAGAGGATGGAAAATGCTTTATTGATGGAAAGTGGGAGCTGTTACTCCCCCCACCTCCTCTACTTAGCAAAACTGAAACAGAAAGCAAGCCCATTCAATTCCTGGTTCTCAAAAATGCTAACATCAAAGTGAGAAGCCAAACCTTTGTATCCCTGCAAGTTTTCCATGTTTTCTCACTTTGATTTGTGTACTTATCTTTGATTCAGATTTTGGTTTCCACACGTTAAAAAGAAGGAAACCACCTGGATCTGATATCAGCTCCTCCTCTATCTAAAGTTGGGGTCCTGTTAGCTGCTTCTTGGTGGCTAATTGATATGATATGATACTGTGTGCAAAGTATTTTTCATGATTCCAAGCACAGGCAACATCTAAACCAGCGGTTACTGAATTACCTGTGTTATCAAAGAGGCCACACACGCACCAGCAGAATTGGCTTTAAGATTATTTCCTAGATCATCACCCAGAGATATTGAGGAGATTAGGCTGAGGAAGCACCCGCATCTAGGCACTCTTCCCAGAGAGGAAACTGTGCCCCACACAGTTGTCAGTGCGGTGGTGACGACCACACCTGGCAGCGGTCACAGTGCATCTCCTGGGAGCTAGGGCTGTGCCCAGCTGGAGCAGCTGCTTAGTGCAGCCCTGGCGGCGGCAGCAGAGGGAGCCCCGGCGCTCTGGGTAGAGGAGCCTGGGGGATCGCAGTGTCTGTGCTGCATTCCCCAAAGCAGCAGCCGCGGCCCACCACGCTGTGTGAAGTTCCCGGCACTCACTCAGCCGCGGCTGCTCGTCAGCCTCAATTGTTGATGAGCCTTGGCGCTCGCTCGTCAGTGCGCGGGAGACAACCCATTTTGCTTTCTTAGAGACAGGGGTGAGAAATGAGCTGCCGAAGAAATTTGGCAATGAGGAGAGTAAAAGGCAGTTTCGTGCCAGCGGCTAAGTTGTAAAATTGCTTTGGAGGCTGCTGCCCCCGGGGAGCACAATAGAATTGACAAGAACAGACACCGTTGCAGACCAGAGGCATGCTTGATTGCACTTGAGTCTGAACGCTGGGAAGCAGCATCCTCCTGCTCTAACTATTTGTGGCGGAATAAAGGAAAGGAGACTAGAAACACGATTGCAAGTGGTAATTCCTGAAAGGAAAACACATACGCTCAGAAAGAAGGGGAGGAACGGCTCAGCTGGTGTGTACATTTTTTTAAAGGCGAATCCCTCAGGTATGTTCTCTTTTCCTATATGTCCTGCCTCATCTGCATGGGATTTTGTGTCTGCCTTTTATTTTTATTTTTTCCGTCTGCGCTTTGAGTCACAACCGTGGGGTTCTCCTAGTGTAGTAGATGCATTTGTAAATGCTAAGTTCTTCTGTGTTTATAATATGGATGTTTCTATTGAGGATCATGGACTTCTCAGTCATTGCTTTATTTTAAATGCAGAATGATAAATGATTGCTTAGTCTCTGCTTAACTTTCAGGAATATCTGCTTAGGAACTGGCATAAAAGATGGGATTATTCTCTAATTCCTTGGAATTTAAGGAAAAAATAAAGCAAAAGCAGAAAGAAAAGTTGAGGTCTTCTAGGAAGGGGTTAAAAGCCAAGATGTCATAGACAAGCATTGTATCTCCCAAGTGTTTTTCCAGCTCAATGTCCCATTCTTGAGTAAATTTAGCTTTACTAATGCTTATATATTTTGAGCTGTTCGTCAGTCCTTCAAGATAAAGAACCTGCAGATTTGCTTTCAAGAGATGAATTGCTTACATTGTGCGCTTGGTATGATTTTACAATTGTTCTGTGGTGCCAAAAGAGGCAGTGCTAGGAAAAATTTCTTTGCTCCAACAGCTTGAGTAAACCCTAACTTCTGCAATTACATCATCGATACACTTGTATAATAAAGAGCAGGACAGATGTAGCAACAATAGTCATGCTGGCTGCCTTTAGTACCTATAGTGAGATGACAAAGCTTAAAGTCAATTTTGTTTATTGTGCTTTTAAAAAGAAAAAGGAAAGAGGATGGTGGAAGCACACAAAAAATGAGATTGTGGAATAATCTGCACTTCTTTAAACAAAAACTAAGAAAAGTGTTTCTCATTTTTTGAATTGATAGTCAAGGTAGTGTTTTAAAAATATCCCAAATATCTTTTACTCTTCAATACATTATTTTCATAAAAGCGGATATAATTGATAGTAAGTTAAACATTCATGAATTTAAATGCAATGAGCTTTCTGGAGGGGAGAAACAAGAGAATAAGAAAGTTTGCTACATTTTTGTATTTATAAAGAATTTGTGTAGGTTAAGTGTTCAGCTAATATAGTTACTGCCAAAACTCCAGGACCCTGAGGTTTAATTATTATTGGCTTTACTTTCTTATGCAAATAGTAAAGTTACCTGAGACTTAAATTACAATTTATGCATACTGTAAAGTAATTATCACCCCCGCTCTTTCAAAATCAAAACTACCATTTTTGCCAGGCAGTAGCAATCTGGAGCACTAAATTGGGTGGTAAAACAAAATGAGTAAATCACTAGTTTCATAATTCTACACATAGTATAATAATTATAACATCAAAATATGTTAAGTAACTACAAGCAATTTGGGGCCCAGAAGGATGATTTAGAAGATGGGCAAAGTTTGAATTTATGTACAGTAAAAAAATGTGTATTCCTTTTATATTGACATCTTAAATGTAGAGTTTTAGACTATCTACAGATGAAACACTACAGTAACGATACAACTGCAGTTTTACTGACTCCACTAAATGATTTATTTTTTAATTGAGCTAAGATAATTCAAAAGCATATTTAGATATTTGAGGCCCATATGTAAATTTTCCTTTTCAAACTGCAATAGAATGTTGTTGAAAAAGTAATTTCAATAGTAAAGTGGACTTGAGTTTGAAGGTGGATGAGCAGGTATGGATTTGTTTCCTAGCATTTGATCATTTGCTATCAGACTTCCATTATACAGATTTGGAAACTTCTTCCAGAAATTGTCATCACCATGGACTTGAATAAATCCATGTGCAGGTAGAAGATGAGGTAAACATGTAAGATAAGCCTAGAGAATTTACTCTCTGTGCTTGTTATTAACAAATTAAACTGTTTCCCTTCCTAGGACATCTAACACCTCTCTTTGGTGGCTAGTCTTTAAATGTGAAGTGATGAAGTGCATGGTGGACAGAACTACCCCTAGAGAGCCAGTGAATCTTTGTAAACACATGACAACTGATGATACCCCGTTCAAAGACAAATTACCCTAAATGTATGTGTGTAGGTCAGTTGAGAAGAGTTCATTTCTTTGCCAATTTAGGTCAAGTCTGTGATTTGGAGTATCAGCACAATTTCATATGATAATATCTTTTTCCCACTGCTCTGGGCACTTTCATTTCTACTAATCTACTCAGATAATGCATTGCATAAACCCAACTGAGCTCCCTGAGACTTTGGGTCACCTGTACATCATCTTCCAGATTTCACACTGTCAACCTTAGTTGTTTATTTTTTCCATCCTGTAGCCTTTACTACAGAAGGACTTTCTCATGAATTTTTGAAAAATTTTAAACACCTTCCCAACTAAGAAAAATATCCCTGCTTTTCAGCTGCAAATTTTAGGACATTGAGTGCATGTTCAATTTGTTTCTAAAATACATTCTCATAGTTAGAAAACCACTTTCTACTATCATATTTTGTCCTTAATATGTGATAATATATTTAAAATAATATAAATGAGGCATCAATTGCAAATTCAAGGAATTAAATTTTCATCTTTGCTGCTGTTAGAAACAGCAAATCTTTCTGAATGTTAAGTTGTCTGAGCTTATGTGGCTGACTCTGATTCCCTTTCAGCTTAAAAAACAAGAGGGGGGATGTTATTCATAGCCTTCAGTCTGCAGCTTTTGAACATGTAGAAGATTGAGATCCTGGATATCTCTAGAGAGATAATGGATGCCATAGCACCGTTTGTTCCACTTGCCTGTTACAGTGTAGTTGAGAGGAAAGAAGGTATTCTAACTTTTAAAGTCCTTGAGAGGAGAGGTAGAAATGAAAACACATTGAATTATTTCTTTTCCATTTGTGAAATGGATTGTCATCCAAGAGCCATAAATATTTTCCCTCTCTGGCATATCCTAGCTAGATGGTATAGTTTAGCTTCGGCAAATAGCAATCATTATAATTCTAATCAGGAAATTTTATATTATTTTTCCTGCTTAGAGAGTTAAGGAAGTATTCTGTAGAAATAAATGCTGGTTAGCAAGATATGGATGCAACACACTATACATTGTGTTTAGGGCTTTCAAAGTATTTTTCAAAAAGTAATCAGAAAAAAATGGGCTTTCCTCTCAAATACTTTCTTGTCTGTCTTAGACTTTGACAACCTCGTCTTTAATCTGTCTCTATTATCAGTAGTCTCCATAAGCCCAAGTCCTATGTTCAGGATAAACATACATTTTTTTTCTTAGTATTCTGGGTCTTAAGTATCTGGGTGTAATCTCTTTCCTTGATAGACAAAAAGTGTTTTGCATGATTTTTTTTTTTTTGCTCTATGTATTCTCTGCACATTCTAGAAGCAGATTTTCAAGGCACATTAAATCTAAGAAAAAAAGGTAAAAAAAATAGCTGTCAGATGGGATGATTATTTTACTTCACAAGTGGGAAGAAATGATGACTTAGGCACCATCACTAAGGCATATTTCTGTGAGGGGACAAGGTTTACCTGATCCTGCAAAATCTGTATGTGCTTATTAAGTGGCACACAGCTGGGGAAACCTACATCATTTCTTCATCAATGAGAACTATTTAGTAAACTTTGACAATGATATAGAAATAGAGAATGCACATATTCCAACAAGAGTTCAGTACTTTTTCTTGCCTGGTATGAAATATTGGAGTTAGTCAGACCCTGGTTCAGTCTCCAACTGTTTATTGTCATTTTCTAAGCTTCGGTTTTCTCACCTGTAAAGAATACTATTCAATGTACATGCCACCCTCTAATAGTTCTTAGAAATTCTATAGAATCTACATAATGCTGTCTCTATAGTCAACCTCATCTGAAATGGAGCCACGGAATTACTTGCTCTGATTTATCTCCCCTGAGTCTACAGGTTTATAATTATCATCTACCTGCCTGATAAGCTGAAGAATAAGTATTCATCCTTTTAGGACTGAGTGAGAAATTTGCACAACTAGGCAATGATAAGTACTGGCTGAACCATATTCCGTGTAGTTGCATGTTTTGCATAAGGCCCTGTATTTGTGAGTCATAATATATTTGCTGCAGCTTTGATGGATGTTGAGATACTGCCATTTCCTTCCAAGAAACAAATGCCATTTGGGTGCTCAGTTGCTCACTTTATTAGAGTTGTTCATAGAGCATTTTTATTGAAAGCTTTTAAAAATATAGTTTATGTGCACACTCTACTTAGTCATTTGAATAGATTTACTCTCTCTTCTTCCAGCTTTCTCGCTTTTGGATGGGCACACTCACAAGAACCTGCTAGAAAGAAGGGCATTGCGGGGTTCTCTCAAGGTTAACAGGGCAGACTTAACTTGGAAAGGTTTTTAAGCTAGGGAGAACTTATAATTTCTTCTTTTTCCAAGGTAATTGATTGGCAGGAGACAAAATATATAAGTTAATTTTAGATATGTATAAATTAAAATTTAATTCTAGTTACTTCTTAGAAAGTAATTCATGGGAGTACAAGATTGTGCCTAATTATTCATTAAGCTGTTACAGTATTACTGAACACTAGTGAACAACTTTTTAAACAATTTCTAAAATGTATAAATCTTGATATGTAAATACAATTACAATAAAAACATACTTTTATGCTGTCTTCCTTTATTTAGCCTTGAATGAGAACATTTCTTGATTCTCTCTTGGAAAGCTGACTCACTTGGGGGACCAATTCTATCTTATTGATGGAATTATACTAACATGTTCTACAACATTCAGGAGTTTCAATTCCTCCAGCTTCCCACAATAGTTCCTTTTCCTGTTTTCCTCAGTCTCTCAGGCGCAAATCTCAAGCCATCCTTACTGCATTATTCTTGTTCGTGACACATATTCAATTACTTACAAAATCTTATATTCTGCTATATACCATCTCCACAGTCATGCCTTCTTTTCTCTTCCTATTAACTCCACCCTAATTCAAGTTCAAGTTCTCATCATTTTATGACTATAATATAGCACTTATCTTCCAATTGCTCTGTTTGTTATGA